CATCAGTTGCTGCCTCCACCGCCGACAGCGAGCTGCACCCCGGTGATGGAGGTGAGCGGGCCGCCCAGCGTCGGCCACCACCCGCCACGGTGCCCCACCAAGAGGACTCGGGATGGGAAAGAGCAGGACACTGGCCCTGGAGAGCTAGGTGCACATCAAAGGAATGGTTTCAATGAGCCCAGATTTTGCACCTTCCCATGCATAGAAAAGCGCTGAATTCCTTACCTTCAGATGTCTGGTTTCCTTTAATTCGCAGTCATCTTTTGATGGTCTGACTACCTGGTCTAACTCCTGTCTATCCTGGCTCCTCCCTTCCCTCTTCGGAGCGGTCTCTTAGAGCCATCTGAGAGGCCGCTTCCCAGGCTCGGGTCCTCAGAAAGTCTGCCGAGTATAACATAACCCTCACCTTTTCGGTTGTGCGTGTTTTTTAGTTGACAGTTGCCGAAGACCCACGGAGAGTTATCTTCTGAGGCACCAGAGATGAAATTCTTACTTAGTTAAATTTTTTTTCCCAATTCTGCAAGCTCAGCTCAGAGACTGCTTTCCTGACAAGCCTTCTGCCACTCTTTCTATGTTTATCTGTTTATAAGTATCTGTATCTGCTAGATGGTAAACTTTATGACTATAGGATCTACGTTTGTCCTCAGTGCCTGCAGCAAGGTCTGGCACAGAATAAATGTTAAATAAAAACTTACCAAGTGAGTAATGAATGACAGATGCTCCAGATTATCCATTTGCCACATCCTGAGCCTAGTAGTAAATTCTAACTCAAATTCCCTGCTCCTGACGCTCCCTAATCCCCTCTGCTCCCTCAGATATGCTCTGGGAGTTATCCTGTGAAACACTGTCATCACTGTCATTGCTTTGCACTCACAGTGACTACCTCAAGTGTCACTCCTGCCAGTGAAAGAGAACAGCAGTAATTTCCCAGCTGGTGACATTCAGGAGCCGTGGGCGTCACACAAAAGCATTTTTAGATTCCACGAAAGGTTTATCAGCATCTCTGTGGGAGTCATTCCAGCTCGAACTGTGCTGAGAAATGGACTTCCTCTGTGGTCACCTCTGGGAAAACCCACAAAGACCAGAGAGTCCCTTCCCGGGCAGAGGGACGTCCCCCGAAAGGGAAACAGTTCGGATCGCCGGAACTCCGAATTTGTTGTCGAGACCCAAGAGTCTCCTCTGATCAACCTGATGGCCGTTTCTAAAAACAGGATGCCCCAGCTTGCCTTCCCTCCCCTGTCATTCCTGGAATGGGCCCTAGTCATACTGGAACGTTCCTGTGTCTCGACAAGACCACACGGTGTTCCTGAAACAAAGTTTGGCATGTTTTTCAAACCTCTGGGGATGACAAAACCAACTTGTCCACACCGTTTTACGGGACATCTAGAAGCCCACACCTCAAGACTCGATTTCAACGTAGCAGCCGCGAGAAGACTTTCTGACACCCACTTGTGTGTTTAAATAGTCACCTTGTCTTTATTTCTTTCCATTAACTATGCACGAGATTCGGATAATCATCTGTGAAAGTAAAGGACTAAGTTGGCACTCTGCCCCATAAAACGATCGCACAAGTAAGGGGTACACTTGCTCAGTAAAACAGCCTTCCCGCAGCCACTCATGACTTATTCCCACTTGCTATGCTTGTGGTCTTAGGAAACAGTCCTTACTTAGCTTTTCCGTATTATGTGAAATAACATCTCTCAGGGCTCCTTCTGCCAAACTCCCTGACGGCCACCTTCAGGTTCTGGGTCATTAATTTTGTGTTATTTCACCATCGTGATCCCTACGAATATCGCAATGTTCGTGTTTTATTTTTCCCTCTGCGTTTGCATCAGCAGTTTTAAACAAAAATGTCATCGCGCTGCATGAATCGTTTAATATTTTAGTTTAGTTTAATATTAATAGTTTAATATTTCTTCTTTATCCTTCAATATTTTATTGTGGGAATGTTCCCATGGCTCCTAGAGACCCTCAGCATATCAGTTTTACTTGGTGTAAGTATTTATTATAGTGTTCATATTTCTACATAATATTATATATTATAATTATGCTATTATATCATATATTTGTATATAATTATATTATTATGTTATACTATCCCGCCGGTCGTCACTATTTGGGCCATCTTCTATTTTTTGACATTTAGGTTGTGGCTAAAATTGGACCGTTAGAGGTGACGCTACAAGGAATCTCATGTGATATGCATTTTTGTGTATTTGTCAGGACTATCTTGGCTTGAGCAGATAACAAAGTCAAACTCTCGGTGGCTTACCACAGCAAAGGTTTGTTTCTCATTCAGTTTCAAGTGAAACAAAGGACGCCCAGAGCTCCATTCCACATGCTCACTCAGTCCCGGAGGCGAATTCCAGAGTCCGCTTCCAGAGAACACAGAGTGACTGGAAAGCTTGCGCTGCCCTTCCACCCTTAGCTGGATGTGAAACTCATCACTTCTGCTCACAGCCTTTGGCCTGAGCCGGTCTCATGGCCCAGTCTGCCTGCCAAGGGCGTGGTGTGTCATCTTCTACGAGCCCAGAGGAGAAGAGAGGAGGATGTGGGCAGGCGATGGTAACAGCCCCTGTGTGAGGCTGTGACTTTCACTTAGGATACATGCATGTCCCAGAAGGGGAGTTACTGGGTTTGGCCAACTTTTTTTTCTTTTCCTAAGAAGCTTACATTTTCATCATTCCACCAGTTTATTTTCTGTTCTCAAAAACCTCAAATGTCACCAGTTCTTACTCCTTGCTGATCTAAGAGATGAGAAATGCCATCTCATTTTTTAAAATTTGTATTTCTTTCATTACTATTG